GTGGATGTGGAGAAAAGGGAACACTACTGGTGGGAATGCAAATTAATTCATTCCTTTTGGAAAGACACCTGGAGAACACTGAGAGAACTAAAAATAGACCTGCCATTTGATCCTGCAATTCCTTTATTAGGTATATATCCAGAAGACCAAAAATTGAATTACAACAAAGATATTTGTATAAGAATGTTTATTGCAGCCCAATTCATAATTGCTAGGTCATGGAAGAAGCCTAAATGCCCATCTACCCATGAATGGATCAATAAATTGTGATATATGTACACCATGGAATACTATGCAGCCCTAAAGAAAGATGGAGACTTTACCTCCTTCATGTTTATATGGATGGAATTAGAAAATATTCTTCTTAGCAAAGTATCTCAAGAATTGAAGAAAAAGTATCCAATGTGCACAGCCCTATTTTGAAACTAATTCATAGCTTTTATAGGAATGTCATAACCTAATTATAGCCTTAGAATATTGGAAGCGGGTGGGAGAGGGCAGGTGAGGGGATGTGGATGGGGGGAGGGAGAGTGATTGGTGGGGTCAATCTTTATGGTTAATCTTACAAGGGTACAAGTGAATCTTTCTCAAAGCAGAATATGAATGTCTTGACTCAATAACTATGAAAATGACATGAAGGTTATGATAACCAGTTTGATGAGAGCATTTCAAAATGTATATGAAAACAGCACACTGTACCCCATGATTGTATTAATGTACATAGTTATGCTCTAAGAAATTTTTAAAAAGTAGGATTGTATCTTATTAGGACATTAAATAAGAAATGTCAAATTTTGAATCAAAAGAACTCTGAGACTGAGGAAAGCTGTTAATTCCTTGAGAGAAGAGGAAAGATCTCAGATACCTGAAATCCCTAGGTTAGGCATCCTCAAACTATGGCCCGCGGGCCACATGCAGCCCACCTAGGACATTTATCTGGCCCACCTGGTGTTTTTCCCACCACTGACTGTCCTGCTTAGCAGCTGACTCGTCCTGGGGCCCGCAGTCTGGTCCTCCAATGGTCTGAGGGACAGTGAACTGGCCCCCGCTTAAAAACTTTGAAGACCTCTTCCCTAGGGCATCCCCAAATTTCTTTTCAGTCAGTAGTTATGCTTCTTTCTAAACCCTGGCCTAGTTTGTGACCATAATGAATTGACTTACTTGAGTATCTTCCTCTCAGTGTAAGGAATGGGGAAATTACCCAAATACAGCATGAAAAAGGAGAGAATTAGCACAGCTGAAGGCTGGGGTCATTGATCAATTCTCCAATCTTGGTAGGACTGGAGTTGTTTTCCTGTAGCCAGTCACCTTTTTCAGAGTCTCAAGTCTTGACTTGTTCAGAGACCTTTCCTCTAGGCTGAAAGTAATAAGTGGCTTCCATCCCTGGACTTGCAAACTAGGAGGGGTTGCAGCATGTGCCAGCTAACACTTTAGGTTGCTGGCAATAGCTTGTGCAGGTGGAATGATATGGGAAAAGCAGCCTGCAAGCAACCCTGTCTCTTGTCAGCCTCAGTCTTAGAGGCCCACATATAGCACTTCCAATAATCTTACAATCAAAGCTACAATCAAGACTTACAACTGCTTCTGTTTGGTTCCTAAGGCTGCTGTTTTATTCATTCTCCACAAAGCCTTCTCTAGGGAGTGAGGGGGACCAAGAAACTTAAAGGAAAAAAATCACCTTTTACTCCTTTAAGGCCTGGGTTTCCTCTTGGCCCTCGTTCGCCTCGGAGACCAGGGATCCCTGGCTCTTTGCTGTGCAGGATTTCACTGTCTAATGCTGGACCTGCAGGAAAAAAGAAACATTAAGAGACCAGCAGCTTATATAAGCCTGATGGATCACCACAGCACCTCAATCACCAAGACTTGAGTCCTGGAGGCTCAACAACACTCAAGACAGAGGCAAACAAAATAAAAGATAGAGACCCCACGTCTGCAGCAAGGAGCCAACAGGATTTTCTGTTGGTTCAACTCACACTAGTAATACTTACAGAAAGTCTACCATGTTCCAGGCACTGTACTAGACACTGGGGATATACAAATGAATAAAGTAGCTTCAGTAACTCAGCAGTCCCAGAAAGCTCCGCTGGGACAAAAGAGGAACTAGGTACACGTTGCAGTGGTCATGGGATTTAGAAGACAAAGTAATGTGCTGGACAATATTTCTAGCCTTTCTCTCAGAATCTGGAATCTAGTGACAAGCCCCAAGGACATGTAGTCTTTTAGCAGCCATCTTGAGGATCTAGGCTTGGCTTTCTTTTCCCCCTCAGGCTCTCAGCTCACCCGATTGGACCCCTATGGATCAGAAGAAGCTCTAAAGAGCCAATGCTGCTTCTGTAGGAGCCAAAAACAACAACAACAACAAAAAAAAAAACACAGAGGTCTAGGGGCTGAGAACAGTGAAAGATGGAATGGAAATGAGTACAAAAGTTAGAAGGCTTCATGTAGTGTTTGATCACTAAGGAGGCCTTACTAGCTTGTTCCTTGAGGGAGAAAATTCTGCTGCAGCTGATAACTGCTTAAAGAGGGCTCTGATTCAGAGCACATGGGGCTTTTACTGCTGCCTCTCTGCAGTTATCACATGTCTTGGTTTAGCTGTTTCACCTGTGAGATGTTCCCTCAAAAATCATGACTGTTATGCAGTCTGGATTATACCTGAGTCTCAAGACTGAAGAGAGAAATGAACAACTTACCAGGTAGACCTGGTGGGCCTGGTGGACCTGGTGGGCCAGGCCAACTATCTTTGCCAGGGAGGCCATCTGGCCCAATTGTCCTGCGGCCTGGGTTTCCTCGGTCCCCCTTCAGGCCTGGAAGTCCTGGGGGCCCTAAGGCACCTGGGACACCTGAAAGGATAAGCCCACACACAAACGCTCATCACATCACCTGATGTTTGGGGTATTTCAGTCAGTGGTGTACGTTGGAAACAACCCAAGTGAAGAATTTGGAAAAGCATTTGCATTTCTCTGGCACCAGAATTAGAAGGGTCCTTAGGGATCAATCAGCCTAACCTCTTGGGACACTGAGGCCCAAAGAAGGCAGGAGACAGTCAGGGGCCCATAGTTTCTTAGTAGCAAATTTGAGAGGAAAGCCTGGGTCTCTAGCCTCCCAGTTCTCAAGGTTTTCTGCTGTGGTGCTGGGGCTAGCTAGATGTTTTCCTAGTGGCTGCTTTAAAAGCATAAGTATCCTTATAGAAGCCCATATCCAAGGAATTTAGAAACTGGTGACCTTAAAAGTAAGGTCTAGGGCTTTATATCTAGGACATCACTGCTTCCCAAATTCTGGCATGCCCTTTTTCTGCCTGCCACCATAGAATGACTTATGGGTATGCCCCTGTGTTGAATGGTTCAAAGGTGTCATCCTGGGACCTGGGACCATTTAGTGCTGAGTTAAGATGAGAGTGAGGGTACAAACCTCCCCCTCTTGGCAAGTATCAGCTGGGCTGGCACATCCACAGAAGAGTGACATGGCTCTAGCAGCTCAACACAGGACCCCTCTGGTTGCTGTAAACCTCAGTGACAGTCAGTGATTGCCTATCTAGTTATGGCACATTATTTAAGCCAAAGTAAAGCTCATCACCCAGGCCCTACCTCTCCTGCTGACCAGCAGTAGGAAATCTACTGACTATGGCCTATCTCTCCTTTAACTTTGGCTAAGTGTGTGCCTAAACCCAGAGGTACACTGGGAACCAGAGTGGATAGAGGGCTGATCTGTGCAGGGGATGGGTTATTTTATTTTCACCTGGTAATGATGGCAAGCCAGGCACACCAGGGGAGCCACGCAGACCCTTAATGCCTTCGTTTCCTCTCAGACCTGGGAGGCCTGGTACACCACGGTCTCCAGGATAACCTGGCATTGTAATGACAAAAAAAGCAATAAGCAAACACAGAGGAGGCCCACAGATGCTCCGCTAAAAATGCAGAGAGCTGCCCTGGGGTTAGATGTGCCTTGCTTCCCAGATAAGAATGGCCTCACATGACAATGGGCCTACTGGAGTTGAGGCTCCACTACCATTAAGAATTGATCTGGCTGGAACATATTCTTCTTAGCAAAGTATCTCAAGAATGGAAGAAAAAGTATCCAATGTACTCAGCCCTATTATGAGACTAATTATAGCCCAAGAATATGGGGAAACGGGAGAGAGAGGGGAGGGGAGGGGGGATGATGAGTGGAGGGAGGGTGTTTGGTAGGACCACACCTATGGTTCATCTTACAAGGGTACATGTGAAGTTTTCTAAATGTAGAATATAAATGTCTTAACACAACAACTAAGAGGATGCCACGAAGGCTACATTAACCAGTTTGATGAAAGTATTTCAAATTGTATATAAAACCAGCACACTCTACCCCATGACTGCATTAATGTACACAGCTATGATTTAATTTAAAAAAAAAGAAAGAAAAAAAAAGAATTGGTCTGGCTAGAGTTTGCCTCCCATGATAAGTTCTGCTAAGTACTAGGATGGTTCTTCTACTAGTACCAATGTGCTGTAGTTTCTCAAATGTCTACTGTTTGGGTTAATATGTTACTATTTATGTTATATGTATATACTTAGGTTTCCTGGGAGTAGGAAATAGGAAGCCACTGTTAACTATTACTACCTGAAAGGGTATGGGCCTGAGAGAATGAGAGAAGAGGGATAGGTCAGAAGACCCATGTGGAAGAGATATTACTGTGTTTCCCCCAAAATAAGACACTGGTCTTATATTTATTTTTTCTCAAGAAGACACACTGGGCTTATTTTCAGGGGATGTCTTCCTCTCTGCACCAAAATGCATAGCCACACCCATGACTAGGTCTTATTATCGGGGTAGGGCTTATATTTAACAAATGCATAGAAATCCTGCTAGGGCTTATTTTTGCGGTAGGTCTTATTTTGGGGAAACATGGTAGAAGAAGCCTTTGGTCAAACAAGAAGTAGTTGGAGGCAACAGGCATCTGGATCTTTGGAGAAGGCAAAAGGAAAAGTTGGGCATAGACAAATAACTAGGACAAGGAGAGGAAAAAGCATCATACTGTTGATGGCTCTCAACCACCTGCCCCACCAACCAAAGAAAATTTTCCACTTCCTATGAAATTGTCAAGCTCAAGCATGCATGGGATCATCTATATGAGACTCTGAGTGTTCTGCAGTATTGAGCCAAGGTCAGTCCAGCTAGGGAGCATATCAATCCTTCCCTCAGCATCCCAGAAGAACTACTGTTACCAAATTCAGCCCAGGCAGACCCAAATCCTAGTCTTGGTGTACCGATCACAAAAATTGGGTACTGGGATTGGCTTCTGTTCCACAGAGATTGGAGTTAGCTTTATTCCCAAGCTCAGGACCCATGTGAGGCCCTTGGGTTTAGCAGCAATCCAGAGTCTAACAAAGCATCTTTTAAATAATTTCAGGGGATATAATATTTAACCCCGTGTCTTTTTTTCCTCTACACAAATTATAGAGAAATTGCACCTGGAATCACAGCACCATCTGTATCCACGAAAATGTCTGGGCCTGGCAGGCCAATGCTGCCCTTTTCACCCTGCAAAGATTAAATACATTCAACACAAGTTTACGATGACCTAATCACTCAAGATCCTTCCAGACCTATCTTTAGGAAAATTAAAAGTTCCTTGTTCTGTAACTCCTGATTTTCAGGGTTAACTAGTCCATACGTTAATTTTAAAGTCCCATAAATTTTAAGATGATGGAAACACAAGGAAGAACATAGGCCTGACACTCAGTTGCAGACTTGGCAAGGACAAGGGCCCCACTTCAGGACACTCTGCTTCTGGGCCTGGGAAAGATATCATAGACAGAGACAACATGGGTGTATCTAATACATGCTAAGGAGGGAGCAGAGTTTCAGCTTTTTCCCCTACCCTCAGAAGGCCTCGGACTCTGCTTCTGTCACTACCCTTGTTAGTGGATAATGTCAGGCAGAGGAAGTCAAAAGAGTCCCAAATCTTCCAAAAGAGGGATCAGGTACCAGAATCAGATATAATGAAATATCTAGACCCGATGGTGGGAGCTGCATGCCCCAGTTTCAGGCAAAAGGGTATGCATTGTCTCTTGAGAACTTAAAAACCGTAATAAAACTTGACTAGCAATTCTAAACAATGTCAATAACAAATTAGGGTTGAACTTAATCCCGCTAGCCCCTGCCTCTTAGTTTATCCCTGATCAAGCAGCATCTAAGAAAGACTTATCAGCAGCTTTTTGTGTTGAATATAGGTTGTATGCATTTCTGGAGACAAAGTGATATATATGTAGGTATTTATGGCAATTCTTCACCTTTCTACCTTCCCAACCCTGGATTTTCACTTCCCAACAACATTACCTTAATTCCTGGGAGTGCATTAAGCCCTGGGAAACCTGGGGACCCCTTCTTGCCCTGTAACAGAAACAGTTACTACTAAGTTGAAAGTACAGGAGCATAAGAAGGGCTGATCTTTGGATTAAGCCTGGGAAAATGGCACAGGGCTCTTGGCTAGTATCCAGGGTATGCATGGCTTGTATCTGACTCTGGAAGCTGTAAAGTCTTCCAGAAGGCAACATGGCAGTAGGTAGCCAACTTACATACAGAATGGCCATAAATTTCGTGTGCAATTTACTGGGATAAACTATTTTAAACTGCACACAAACTTTATGCCCACCCTGTGTTAGGAGTATTCATCATAAGTACAGAAGTATATATAAGCAGGTCGGGCCTTGCCAGTTCCTGATAATATGCCAAAGATGGATGACCACAGCCTGGCATGGCAAGGCACCAAACTTGATGCCTGGATACCCATCTTCTTGGGTAAAAACAAAAGAAGAGGATGGCTAAGATTATACCAATAAAAGGGAGAGGAATGATTTCTATATTAAGTGATGTCTTCTTTTGCTCACGTTAATAAAGCAAGGAGGACTTTTGATTAGAATTTTATACATCAAAGTTTTAATGATATTAGCCAAAATACCTGTTTCCCTGGAGGACCATGGACTCCTTCTGAACCCATGGGGCCCTGTAAAGAGAATAGCCACACCTTAGAGAGATTAATAGCCCGCACTAGAAACAGCCAGTAGACTTAACAAAACAAAGCTATCCAACTGAGTTCAGGATTTAACAGCTCCTAAAAACAAGTAAGAGAATGTTCCTAGACCTAGGTTCTTTCTAAATAATAATCCATCAGGCTGAAGAGCCGTATGGAGCATTTTTAAAGAGCTAAATAAATGGAAACATTTTAAATCGTAGGTAGAATTTGGTAGAAGGGCTGGGTGGTATTATATTTAGTCTGCATTAGTTCCAAGTCAGGAGATTTTAAAATAGATTATGGGAGGGCCTCTTGTCTTTTACCTCGCTTGCATTATTTGTTGGTGATTATGTGTTTTCAAGACAAGGGAGAAGGAAAAGTAGAGAAAGAGGCAGGGTAATGGATGAACATTGCTGAACACTCAAAGGACTCTTAACAAACTTCATGGCGAAGCAAAAAATAAAATTCTCTAACATGTTACTTTTTCAAGACTAAGGTTGGCCAACTGCTTCTAGATCAAGATATACATGTCTGAAGGTAGGAATCATAGAGGCTAATAGTTATTTATCTGTTTAAAGTGAGATTAATATTGGAAACCAATGACTGCAAACATCACTATGAACCTCCTAGGCTCGTTTCTATCCTGTAAAGATTGCATTTGGCCCTCTTTCTTCCATTCCTGTGCCATCCTCCTGCCCATATTCACTTGGAATAGAATTAGAATGAAATCAAAACAAGACAACACTCACATCATTCTTTACCCTAGAAGATAATTATACATGAAGGTAAGGAGAGTAAATAGGCTAAGTAGATATTTAGAGTGGGGGGTACACCATCCCTTATTGAAGGGAGCCACTCTGCCAAGGGAACGGGGCTAAATAGAGAGAAGGAGGTCTTAGGAACCTGTCAGAGGTTTGAAGAAGGGAAAGAAGAGAAGCCTAGGTGGCCGACATGTTACATAAAATAAAGAAGAAAATAAGAAAACGGACCAGGTGATAGGACAGACTCAGGCAAGCAACATTCCAGGTTCATACCCGAGGTCCTGGCAAACCAGGGATTCCCTTTTCCCCCTTTTCTCCAGTAGTTCCAAAGCCCTGAAAGAAAAAAAGAAACCACAAGTTATAACATTCATTTTCTCCTAAGTTTCCTGGCTCCATCCAAAGCAAGGAGGTAATCTCAAATCAGTTTCACTGTCCCATTCGAGAGGCTCACCGTGTTGAGTCTCTTGTCACTGTCTGAGAAGCATCATTCATTCAGGGCTCCCCTTTGGTTTTAGAAGTAATGCCCCCCAACACTATTACATGTATTTATGACATGACAGGCGGACATCACAGAAATAATTAAATATATAAAACCTTGTCGATTTTACAGATGGGGAAACTAACATCAGAAAGGTTAAAAGTCAATGGTAATGCCAAGTGTTCTGACTTCCATTCCAGGGCCCTTTCCCTAAGAGGTTGCCTTCCATCATCTGGGAACTTAATTCTTTGACCCATAAATGGAGGAGTGTGCAAATCCATGGAGGCTGATACTAGGGAGTAGGGATTTTTCCCTTTGGAGACACGATGACCACAACATCCTTTTTGGTGGGAAGGAGTATTTCTATATAGGCATGGTGTAGAACCCTGCAGTCCCTGTTATGGGGGCTGTAGGGCTCTTGCCTGGCCATAGGAGTACTCCAAAGGGGACTGTGAAATAGTCTTTAATCTTTCTTGCTCTGCTTATAAGAGGTGAGAGTTTGCAACCATGAGTATGACTTGGGGATTTTCTAGGGAGAAGCAGAGTATCCAAAAAGGAGAGTGAGAGATTCTTTCCCTCTGGGTCCAATGCAAACGTCTTGAGTTGCCAGGATACAGAAGAGTTCATTATAAAAGTAGATAAAGCCTTTCACAGAAAACGTAACTGAGGTCATTTTTTTCATTGCTATTCAAAACTGCACTTTTTGGAGCACAGATTTTGGCAAACAATAACATTTTAACCTATTAGGAGAGTAAAGAAGGCAGTGAAGCTTTCTCAAATGTAAGCCTGTAAAAGAAACGAAATCTCCCCTTGTCTCCTTGATGTGACCTGCATCAGCTGGTGTGAGGGCACTGCTCCAATCCCATTTGTAGCTTTTTCTTCCTCTTACGTACACAGTCAGTATCCCAGTGTTTTATTTATTTATTTATTTATTATTAAACTAAGGGGAACGGTGTGTGTTTGTAAGGGGTCCAGTTCAAACTAGGCTTTGGTCCCTACTTGCCTTTTCTCTTTTCTACATCTATAATTGTGTGTCAAATACCTCAGCCCGCATGCTGAATGGAATTTCTAATTTGAAAGACCTGTGGGTTAAACTGAATGCAAACTTGTTTGAAATCTTAGTTTTTCTGCTTCTCCTATTGGAAACCAAGGCGTGCTGCCACCTGGTGGAATGTGTCTACTGGCCTCTGCAGTGGAACACTTCCAGCAGCCTTCCCTGACCTGCCCAGGAAAGCTGTGGTAGTCCATGCTGCCCCAAACTCTTAAAGCACCAAGATTGGCTGTGCATGAAAAGTTGTGTAAGCAGCAGGTCTATATCATACTCCATTTTGTCCCTCCAAGAGACAGCAGCTGGAACACATACAAAGTAGTCCAGTAAATACTGGTGGAATTGAATGGGATAATGACCCAGAAAACAAAACTGTTGCAAATGGCGAAGGAAAGAATGTCCAGGAACTGTTTCATGCCCCCCACCCATCTTACCCACAGTTACAAATACAAGTGGGTCTTGTGTTCCTTTAGAAAGCAGAAAGAGCCTCTGGATTCTTGCTTTTTCAGAGAAAGAGAGAGAGAGAGAGAGAGAGAGAGAGAAAGAGAGAGCGAGAGGATCTGAGAGCTTTGCTTACAGTGGAAACAAAAATAAATATGTAAAAATGTAAAAAATATGTAAAAAAAAAAACAAAGAAAGAAAGGAATTTGTGTGTATGGGGTAGAGCCAATAAAAGAGAAGTGAGTTGGCAAGACAGTAACTGTGCTGTAGGCTCAGCTTGTCTCCCCGTGCAGGGACCCTAAGGAACAAGCTGTTCTAGCCAGATGTCCTGGGACCCAGCCCTGTCACAGTTGGCCCTTAATATAAGTGATCCTGCAACCGCTGTTCCCACACCTCCTACTCACCCGTGGCCCAGAAAGCCTCACTGGAGCACTAGCTCAGCTGTTTCCAGGCCTGTTTTCCCAGGCGCTGGGCTCTTGGTACTTTTTGGTTCCAAGGAGGCTCAGAAACCTCCCCTACCCCGTAGGTACCTCAGACTCACTCAATAGTTTGCTCAAGATTTGCCAGTTTCTTCTCTTTTCCCCTCCTCATCTCTCCCGTTTTGTCTTCCCCTGTGTTTGCTAGCCCCTTGGGCAGAAGGCACATGGGGATACGATTCTCTCTGAAACTCCCCATGGGAGGTCATGTGGCCTACAACCGTGTGAGTGTGCTGCTAGGGACAATGGGACTAAACGTGTGAAGCCGAGATTGAGCCAGAAAATCAGGGGCGTTTGATTACTGCAAAAAGGGCAGGAGAAGACGTGAGGTGTCAACTCCTTCAGGTTGGCCACTTTGTCTCCAGCACAGATTTGGCCTGAAATGGGCAGAAAAAAAATGGCTAAAAGGAACATTTTGGATTCCCTAGCAGTGGTTCTCAACCTTTCTAATGCCATGACCTTTTAATACAGTTCCTCGTGTTGTGATGACCCCCAACCATAAAATTATTTTCGTTGTTACTTCATAACTGTAATTTTGCTATTGCTATGAATCGCAATGTAAATATCTGATATGCAGGAGATCCCCAAAGGGGTCATGACTCACAGGTTGAGAACCGCTGCTAGAGATTTCCTTCCTCAATGCTGTCTTATTTTGTAGTTAGCATGGATAATGGGACACCCATGTGAGGGCTTTGGATTTGAGAAATGTGTTTCCTCTGAAAAGCCCAGAGTGCCTTCCGGCCTTTCTCTTCACAACTTTTACATCAGAAACCATTCATATATCTACTTCCTTTTAAGTAGATAGAGATATTAGGACAGAGGGAGTTATATGATTTGGTGAGGGTCACACATCGAATCTGTGCCGAAACGGGCTGAGAACTCTCTTTTATTAATTCCCACCCTGTGAAATATGCTATTTTATGTAAAGGAGATATTTTCCAGCTATGATGTTTTTTACAGTCAACTGGGGTTTCTATTTTTCAGCCCACACTGCGAAACGCTGCAAGTGCTGAGCTTGAAACAAACAGTATTGCAATTTATCACCTGCACTGTCCTCAGTTAGTCTCTCTGTCTTTTACAGGACAAAAGGGAACAGGTTGAAATTGCAGCAGGAGAAACACTCTTCAGTTTGGACTGTGAGTTCGCATGTGGAAGGAGAAGGAGAGGGCATGAGCTAGTGAACCCAGTAACACTCCAGAGAGCATAAAATCCTTTTTAGAGACTTAGATGAAAACACCACCACTAGCGTGATCAGAACAAACTGGACTGTAGGGGGCAGTATGGTATGAGGAAAAAGCCCTGAATTGAATTCAGGAAAGTTGAATTTCAGTCTCAGCTCTGCTAATAACTAGCTATGGGACTCTGGACAAACCTCTTCACTTCTTCAGGCCATGGTTTCCTCATCAGTATAAGAGGGATGATCCCAGGCCAGCTTGCTACCTCATAGGGATAATGCAACGTGGCTATAATCTACAACACTACAGGACATACACAAAGAAAAAAAAATATATAACTGTACATAATGTACTCTACAGATTTTTATGAAATACTCTACAAAGAAAGGTGAAAACCTTATATCGGAATCCACTGTAAAAGTATTTCCTATTTATGCTATACGATAGAAATACAGTGTGAGCCACTATGTTACTGTCAATTTTCTAGTAGCAACGTTAAAGTAACTTAAACAGTAGATTAATCTTAATGGTATATTTTATTTAACTAAATATATAATAAATATTACTATTTCCGCATTGAAGTAAAAATTGTTACTGAGTCATTTTAGATATTTTTTTTTCACACTAAGTTTTTGAGATCTGGAATGTATTTTACGTGGACGGTACATCTCATTTTGGACCGGCCACATTTCAAGGGTTCAGTAGACACACATGGCTAGCAGTTATCTCATTAGACAGCATAGTTTTATACTTTGTAAAGAAACTTCACATACACAGTTGGGCCTCAAAAAGAGTAGATATGTGCATATTCTCATTCATATGCAAGAACTAAAAGAGCTGATCTCATGGAGATAGAGTAAAATGATAGCTACTAGAGGCTGCCAAGGGTGTATGTATGGGTGGGGATGAAAAGAGGTTGGTCAGGCTCAGCACCTGTAGCTCAGCGGCTAGGGTGCCAGCCACATATACTGGAGCTGGCGGGTTTGTACCCAGCCTGGGCTTGCCAAGCAACAATGACAACTACATCCAAATAATAGCCAGGCGTCGTGGTGGACGCCTGTAGTCACAGCTACTTGGGAGGCTGAGGCAAGAGAATCATTTCAGCCCAAGAGTTTGAGGTTGCTGTGAGCTGTGACACCATAGCACTCTACTGAGGGGTGACATAATGAGACTCTGTCTCAAAAAAAAAGAGGTCAATGAGTACAAACATACAGTTAGAAGGAATAATTTGTAATGTTGAATAGCAGAATGGGGTGACTATAGTTAACAAAAATACAGTACACATTTCAAAATAGAAGAGAGGACTTGAAATACTTCCAACTCATAGAAATGATAAATACTCAAGGTGCTAGGAATCCTAAAAAATACCTGGAATTGATCATTACACATTCTATGCAATTAGCAAAGTATCACGTGTATGCCATAAATATATACGAATATTTTATATCAATAAAAGAGTAGATATTGTCATAGTACAGATACACAGAGAGGTTCAGTGATTTGTTAAAGTCCCAGAGCTGGAGCTGTGTCTAAAATCTGGGTGTTCTGTCTCCAACACCAGGCTTCTTTTTCCTTCTGATTCATTAGATAATGAGCTGATTAAAATGACTCTCTGCCCCTTTGTTTCTGAAGCATCATGTGCCACCGGCTCTACTGGCTCTGCTTTTCAGCCACCCAGAGAGACCCAAACTATTTCAAAGTACCATAGAGAAGGA